ATCTAAATTTTAAAAATAAAAACATAAATAACAATTAAAAAAATAAGCAACAAAGAAACATATTATTAATAAAACAAATAAAAAAGAAAAAAGAAAAATATTAAAATGAAAAATTATATATAAAAATATTAAAATAATTCTTATTCATATAAATTAATTAATTGAATGAATTTAAAACAAAAAAATAGAAAAAAGTATAAGTTTAATAGTATAGTAATAATTATATTAAAATTCTCAAAACAAACAATAATATTCAGATTAATTTTTTTATTTTTGTTTGAAAAATAAAAATATATAAATAAATTTTAAAACGAATTCTCATATAATTGCAATTAAACTAAAAATTAATATATTATAATACAAAATAATATACCAGAATTTTACTATTAAGTAATTTTATAAAGTCATTAGTATAAAGAATTATTTTTAAATACATATAAGAATATAATTCATTTAAATTAATAAAAAAAAAATAGTCTATTTACAAATATATAAAAAATAAATACTTATGAAATAATTTAAAATTAATAATATAAAAATAACACAAAATCTTCAAATGCTTATATAATTAAATTTAATAAAAAAAATATAGCTAATGCTATTAATAATTAAATAAATATTTTGATAATAATATTTAGCATTTTAATAATGATAATAATATTTAAAATGTTAATTAATCATATAATTAAAATAATTACTAATGTATTAATGATATGAATATAAGAAAAATCATATTAAAGGGTTTTTTTTTTTTAATAAATATAATATCGAATATAATAATTAAAAAGAACAAAAAAATTGTAAATTAAACAAAATAATTATAAATATAAGTTTTTTTTAAATCATTATATTGAAATATAATTAATAATAAACCTTTAATTAAGAAATTATTAAAAAACAGAAGATTTAGAGGCGTAAATATCTATATATCAAATTATATATTTTTTGTTTATAATTTTATATTTCTATTTTAAATAAAATAAAATTAAAAGGTATGAAATATGGTTTAATATTTAATGATAAAAATACATATAGAAAATGAGATTAAAATATAATTTTTCTCAATCATTCTAACATTATTTAATTATATGGATTTTATGATGATCAAAAATTTATTTATTTAATTAAAGAAAATGCTTATAATGACAACATTTGTAAAGATATTATAACTTAAAAAGGCTAAAAATATAACTAAATATAATACTTTATACTTGAAAAATATATTTATTTCTTGTTTATATTAAATATTAAATTTTATATAATCTATTTTTTTATAGATAAGTTTTTAAATTAAATGTTGGATCTTCGAGTATGTTAATAAGAAAATAACATAATTATTTAATATATAATTAGATTATTCAATTCATTAAAATAATAATAGAAATTATATTACTATTTGGAGTTTATGTTAAATGGTTTTGAAATTTTAAAAGGAAAAAAACTATTTTAAAGCCATATGAATGATTAATATAATTAAATAACATTTATATCATGTTATATAGAGTTTTTGTTTAATAAATTTTTATTTAGTTTTATTTTATTTATTTTTGTAAAAATATTAAAGATTAAGTATATATTTATATATTTTTGTAAAAAATTTAAAGATCAAGTATAATTAATTATTTATAAATGTTATAATTAATTTATATATTATTAAATATTTTTTATCTAAGATTTATGTTTTTATTTAATTTTTTTTTTATTTTTTTTTTAAAAAAAATATATAAATTTATTTTTAAAAAAGTAAAAAAATATGTTTGTTAAAGAAAAATAAACAGAAAATTTTTAAAATCTTAAAAATAATTAAAACTTATTTTAATAATTATAATAAAATAAAAGAAAAAACTATCATTCACTAGCTTCTTAAAGAACAAATAAATTTTAAATAGAATAATTGTTTCCTTTAATAGCTGAAAAATAAAAAGTTATTAATAATGAGAAAAAATAATTATTTTAATAAGAATTAGGTCATATATTAAATAAAATTATCATGAATCAAAAGAAATAAAATGCAAAAAGTGAAGAAAATTAAAAAGAGAATAAATTTAAATTAATTAATGGTTCTTTTTCTAATTAAAAAAATATTGAATAAACATAATAATAACCCGAAAATATAAATAATTGTAATATAATATTTAACTTATTAAATAAAAATTAATTTAACAAAAAATAAAGTCAGTCTTTAAATAATAAAAATACCACTCCCGTTTATGCACCTAAAAGTAATATAGAATTGAGAAATTTGCCTTAAATTGAATAATTTTATGTAAAAAGAAGAGAAATTTAAAGCCGAAAAGTTCGAAATAGAATTCTTTCAAAAACTAAAAAATATTAAGAAAATGATAATAATTAAAATTATAGTTTAAAATTATTTTAGTAAATAAAAACTTAAGTTAATGATGAAAAAAATAATAGCCGATTTTTATTAAAAAAGAATATAAATTATAACAACTAAATAATTTTTTAATAATATAAGTTTTTGCAAAAATAAAGTGTAAATAATATTTTTTCTTAAAAAAAAATATAAGAAAAAATACCTTAATCAAACTATGAAAAATTACAGTTTTCTATTAATGAAGAAATAAATATAAAAAAAGATGAAGAATAAAAATACTAATAATACTTAAAGTAAAAATAATAGTATGAAAAGAATAAACGAATCAAAATTTTCAATAACATCCCTAAAAAACAATAAGTGGATAAATAAACATAAAAAGATTCCGAAATAAATATAAGTTTAGAATCTTGGTAAATAATGTAATCTGAAAATATTTTATTTTCATATTAAAACTTAAATGAATTATAATTAAATAAATGAATAAAAATAAATATAAAAAGTAAATAATAAATAAACAATTTAAATAAATAAATAAATATAATATATAAAAAAATATATATCTATTAAACAAAAAAAACTACATAAATATTCAAAAATCATTTAACAGATTATAATATATCTCCTTATATAAAATTATTTTTAAGCTTTTCATGTTTCATGATAATATACAGAGGAACCATATTTAACATTTCTTTAGTTCTCCAAATTTTCGCATTAAGTGCTTTTAAGTATGGAATCCATAAAAATACAAAAACTAGTAAAATAAAAGTCATATAAACGCCAAAAATTATTGTTTCGAAACTTTTTCTACTATCTAAAAAATCCAAAGAACAATTGATTAATAATTCGTTTAAATTTTCCATTATTGGGACTATATATTCTAGTACTTTTTATATATTTATGAAATAATCACTGTTTAAAATTTCTTTTTAGCGAGTATTTTATTTCCTGAAAACTGATAAAATGTCCCTAAGTCCTTCCGTGAATGAAACTATGGATGTCCTTAGTCCTCTTTTGAGTATTCCTTCGAATATTTATTCACATTATGACTAAGATATAGTTGTTATATTGTATATAGAGCATAAATTTGAAGTATCTGCCGTGTTAAATTGATAGAAAAAAGTAGAGAATTAAGAAGGGAGAGTTGATTTCGAATAATAATAGACATTTTTTTCATTTTCTTATATAAAATTGTTATATTTTTCTGATAAATTAATATTTTTATCATCAAGAATTTATGTATCGGTAGATATTTCTTCTAAGGAAAAAAGAAGGTTAAATTTAATATATGTATTTCTCAAAGATAGGCTTTAAAAATAACTGAAGATGTCAAAAGTTTAAGAAAGGAAAGATTCTTCATTTAAAAAATAAAGAAGAAAATATAGAAAAAAAATAAAAGAAATAAATGAAAATTTAAAAATTACTATTTTCTTATTAGAGTCTTTTTAAGTAAAAAATTATTATTTTTAATCATTCTCTTATATTTCGACTACTACTTTTTCGATTTATTATTCTTCATTATGTAAAGTATTTTCTTAATTTAATTATACATCAATGAATTTTTGACATTTTACAATTTAAGCTTCTATTTCTACTATAGGAATAAAAGAAAATAACTAAAGGATTTTATTATTGCTTTCTATGACTTTAAAAACTATAGGAATTAGAACAAATAAAGATATTAAAATAAATAAAATGCCGATAATAGTTATTGTTTTGAAAATTTTTTTATATTCAAAAGTTAAATCTTTATAAATTTAGGAAAAAAGTAGAGCTGATTAAATTGAAATTTCACGAAAAATATATAAACCGTTTTCACGGATAAAATAAAAGTTCTTTTCAGTAGCTGATATATAATTATTAGTTAAAGAAGAGTTAATCTAGGAAATTTTACTATTTTTAAATTATTAAGAATTTGATATATATTAGAAAATAAGATCAGTGAAAATTTTTTAATCTGTGGATATTATATTATTCTATTTTTTATATTTAATAGTATATAATTATTGAAAATTAAGATTATTTTAATAATTAATAGCTTTTATTTCACATCTAATTATATTAAATTATATTTCTTAAAGTTTTAAAGATGCTTATTCAATTTTATTTTTATATATTTAAGCTAAAATTTCTTTTTAGCTTTCTTAATTTAAAATTTAAATAGGATATATATCCCTATAATAATATTTATAATTTATATATTTATATATATATATATAATTATATATTTATATATTTATATATTTTTATATTTATATATTTATATATTTTTGTTATTACATAGAAATCATTTTTAAAATTCTTGAATTGTAATTTATTTCTTATATTAAATTCGGTCGTTAGAAAACATAATTTAAAGCTTAAAAACCTTCTATCAAATTTTGGTTTTTTTTATTTTAATAAAAGAAAGATACATTTGCTAATATTGTAATTATAAGTAGTATAAAGTATACAGTATTTTATAATATTTTAATTTATTTTGGAACTATATTTTCTTTTATTTTTTCTTTGAAATACTTAAAAATTTTTATATCTTCTTGTAGATCTGTATTTGATTCATTAGATTAATTTTTATTTTCTACTTCTATTTCATTTTAATATTCATCTTCTATATTTAATATTTCATCTTGTTCATTTTTATTAGAAATATTTGTTTATTATTATTATGTATTAGAACCATTTTATTTTTACTATTCTTATTTTTATTAAAAAACTTCCTAAAATTTAATCACAGAAACTGATATATCGTCCCCTAAATATTAATAATCATGTAAAAAAACATTCACATTACTAACTTTATATTTGCTGGTTTTCCCTTAATTTACACTATTTTAATCACTACCCTCTACATCTTCTAAAAGGAAGTTTTTTTGCATAAAAACAGTATTTATTTGCAATAAAACTCCTTAATTAATCATCTAATCTTCCAATAAATCTTAATTTAATATTCCAGAGATTATCTAATCAATTCCAAACTCGGGTACATTCTGCGAATTCCCATACATTAAATATGAAGGTATACCAAAATCATCAAACACGCTTTCTGAAATTGCTTAAATTTACAAATTATCATTCCTATATATAATATAATGCATATTATATTAATTTTCTTAATTATTAATTTTCTCCTATTAAATATCTTTGAAAAAACCCACAATCTATATCCCTTCATTTAAATTAGGAAGTACTTTTACCATTAAAATACAAGGAATGATATACCCTTTTTTATCTAGAAACATTACTATTCTATCTTCTTTTCCCATTATTTTAGAAACAGAAGTATTTAAATATTATAATATGAAACTATTATGGAAATCACCGTATATTTTAGGCATTATTTTCTATATATTTTACTCCAAAAGCTCGTTTTTAGAAAAGCCTAAAAGCTTAGAAGTTTCGTTATTTGTATTTGTTATTTAACCTAGTGTATTTATATTTCCGCTTATTTGTATTATTGAAGTATTTTGATCATATTTAATTTTTTTTTCTGAAAATTATTTATTTATTTAAGAATTTTTTTACACATATTCAATTTTTTCTAAAATTCGATTTCCTTCAGTATTGTTATTTACGATTTCTTTTAGAAAAAAATAGTAGCAGTTTAATATTTTTATGTTATTTTGGTTCATTTCTTCTAGTTCAGAGTATAACTATTTCACTTTTCCAACCATTTTATTTATTTTAGAGCCTAATATTAGTAGTTTTCTTATATCAGGTTACTCTTCTTGTAGTTTATTCCAGAATTCTAGGTATAAATTAACACTAAGTACTATTTCATTAACAAATTCAACCATTTTTTTCTCAAAATTAAGCAATAAATTGAAATCTTTGCCTACTCCTCTATTATCATTTTCCATAATATCATCTTCTATTTACTATTTGTATCTAAAAACCGCAAATTCTTCCTAAAAATTAAGTTTTTATTCTTCTACAATCATCAACTGAAACAAAGCCTTATATTTATTTTGTAATTTTCCTGAAAGAATATGAGAATATAAAAGTTGTAATTTTGTGCTTTTTTAGAATTTCTCAAGACTATCTAAAAGGATATTTTCAATTAAAATAAAGTAATTTTTATGAGAATCTTGAATTGTTTCGTCTGTTTTGGAAATTAATTAATCTGAAGTATTTTAGTTGTGTATCATATCTATTTTTAATAAGCCTTCAAGGTAAATTCTATATTCTGGCTTTTGCTTATTTTCTATTAAATCTATTAAAATTAATATATATTTTTCTATTTAGTCTTCTTTTTTAAGATATTTTACATTTTTGCTAATTAAAGTTAAATCTCTTGATTTTATTAACATTAAGTTCACTTAAGATACAAAAGGGGTACATAAAATCAAATAGATTAAACCAGAAAATTGATTCGTTATTACTTTGCAGATTAGACTACTTAAAGTTATCCATAAACAAATAGATTCTAGAATTATTGTAAGGTTTTCAACGCTTTTTTTGTGCATTTTTGGACCGAAATACCTTTATGTGATTATTATTAATTAATAAAATAACATAAAACAAATAAAATATAATGAAAAATCTTCCTCTAATACAGTATATAAGGGTAATATTATCTTAAAACTTATTTTTATGAACTAAATACGAGATTAGGAACCTCCGAAAGGCAAAACAGAAAATGGGTTTAGGTCTATATAGAAAAAAAGAAAGAGGAAAATGAAAAAAAAAGCATAATAAGTCCCTATAAAGAAATACTGAGATGCATAAGATGTATTCCTTGGTAAAAATCGAAGCTTTTAAAATAAATAAAAGACAAGAAAATATTAATAAATGGTATTTATCCTACTGTATTTAATAAAATTCCATATAAAGACAGTATTTTTATACAATAAATTATCATTTTGGAAGGTTTTTGGGTTTTCATGCAATTTATTAATGAAATTAAGAATATAAAAGTAATAAATGTCTATATTACGAATATAAAATACAAAGTTATTATGCGAATAGAAGATTTTTTATCTTAAATTAAATTGCTTATTTGAAAATATTTCAAGCTTTATTAGATTATTTGGGTTAAATATGTATCCCAGAGAAAATTAAATTAAGGAAGAATTGAATAATAGATTATTTGAAGAAATTCTACAAGTAAAAAGACTTTATAGACAAATTCACTTATTAGGTTTTATTATAATAATTAGTGCATTAAAGAATATAAGGAGGTTTTTAAAATTTTCTTATAATGCCTCCAAAGGGATTCTTCAAGGGATAATTTCATTTTATTAGAAATTATTTTTGCTGTTGTTGTTATTTTAATTAAAATTGTTTTTTTTATTTTATTTATATGTATATATTATTTTAATAATTTTTATTTTTATTTTTAATAATATTTATAATTTATTCTTTTAAACATTTTTTTTTTTTTAAGAGAAATTTTTATATGTATACCTATAAATACATTTTTTTTTTTTGAATAATTAATAAAAAGTTTCTTATATAGGTTTATAAATAAAAAATTTTAAAATATTTTTTTATTTTTATATAAAGAAAAATCTTTTTTTTTGTTTAACAAAAAAAATAGGAGTTAATACTTTTTTAAATATATTTTATTTTTTAAAAATAAATGAAAACATTTTTTAATAAAAAAGAAAATAAAAATTAAAAAAATATAAAACCAAAATCACATAAATAAAATAATTTTATAATCTTTATATTTAAGAAAATGAAAAAAATAAAAAAAACAAATAAAGTTTAATAAATATATTTAAACAAATTTTTTTAAAAAAAGATTTGTATATTATTATTTTATTATTATTAAATATTTTTAATTTTTTTTTTTTATTAATAAAAACAAAAAAAAACAAACAAATTTATCTATAAATAAAAAAAGAGAGAGAGAGAGAGAGAGAGAAAGAAAGAAAAAATTAAGTTTTTTTTTTATATTTGAAAAGTTTAAATAATTATAAATATTTTTTCAAATACTCACAACAAAAAATTAATAACAACAAATATTTCATTATCTAAAATTTCTTATTATAAAATAGATAACTTATATATATAAAAAAGCTATATTATTTATTTTTAATCCTTTTTTTTTCAAAAAAAAAAAAAATAAATAAGAAAGGAAAGCTAATAAACATCCTTTTCTCTAAAAAATAAATATATTTCTCATAATCTTCTACCTCTTTTACCACCTTCTCTTCTAGTACTATCAGTAGGAATAGGAGTAACATCTTCGATTCTTCCAATTCTCATACCAAAACGAGCTAAAGCTCTTAAAGCAGATTAAGCACCAGGTCCAGGTTATTTAGTATCAACACCACCTCTAGCTCTTAATTTAATATGAAGGGCATTAATTTTTAATTCTTTGCATCTATTAACAACATCAAGAGCAGCTTACATAGCTATTTTATTATATTTATATATGAATATATATATATATATTTATATATATATATATATATATTTTTTTTATTAAATACCAGCATAAGGAGATGATTCTTCTCTGTCAGCTTTTACTTTCATTCCTCCGGTAACTCTTACTAATGTTTCTCTTCCAGAAAGATCAGTAACGTGAATAAATGTATCGTTCCAAGTTGCTAATATATGGCATACTCCGAATACTAATTCGTTTTCGGATACGTTGGGAGGTCCGTATGAAATTACTTCTTTTGGGGCTGTTTCTTTTTTAGCTTTGGGAGGCTTTTTTTTATAAGAATTAATTTATTATATTTGTTAGTTTTTTTTTTTTTACCATATATTTTTTTTTTTTCTTATGTTTTTGTTACTATTTTTATTTTATATATTTTTTTTTTTTTTTTTTTCTTTATCTTTTTTATTTTAATATATTTCTTTTTTTTAGTTTTTATATATTTTTATATCTAATTTATTTTATTTTAGATTATAAATTTATTTATTTTTTATTTTTCTTAATATTATAAAAAAGGTAAATAAAAAACATAATTTTTTTATTTTATTTTAATGAGTAAAAAAAAAAAAAAATGCAAAAATTTATTTTTAATATTTTTAAAAAATTATTAAAAATCTACAAAAAAAAAATCATTTTTTTTTCATTTATTTATTAAAGATTAGAACTTTTCTTTTAAAATTTTTCTTAAAAATTTTCTTTAATTTTAAATATAATTTTTATTTTAATTATAATTATCCAATTCCATTTCCGGAATTTTAGTTTAACTCAAATTTTATTGACTTTCATCCCATCCCATTTATAATAAAAGAGTTTTTTCGTTTTCAGTTAAACTATTATCGTTGTTTCTATTTTTATTTTCATTTATATTATTGTTGTAATTATTTTCAATTATATTATTTTCATCTGGATTATTATTATTATCATATGTATTTTTATTATTTTATTCGGTATGATTATTATTTTAATATATATTATTACCATTTTAAGAGTTTTTTTTATCATCTTCGTTTTTCTTTTCTGATTTTTTTAATTTCTATCTCAATTTTTTCTTTTTATTTTTATCCTTTTTAGCCAAAGTTATATTAGCTTTTTAATCTAAATATTCTTCCAAAGTATTTTTTAAACCCAATGTTTATAATTTTATATTTATTTCTTATTAAATTTATTCTAATATAATTTAAAAACACTATAAAATAAAAATTAATATATGTAAAAAAAATTAATAAATATACTATATAAACGAACAATTAATTCATTCTTTAATTTGATTACTTATTTTTCCAATAATTTTATAATTTTTCCTTTAAAGTTTATCCTAAACAAATAAGTAATTCATCTTAAGCAGTTTCGGTAGTATTAGCATGCTTTATATATGAAGTATCTATTTCAGCCTTAGTAATAATTTCTTATAAAATTTCTATCTGATTATATGTAAAAATAAATATATATATATAAATATAAAAATAAAATAAATTTATTATATAAATATATAAATATATATATATTTATAAATTTTTTATATATATATATTATTCTATATATTTTATTTTACATTAGATGGTATTTATATTTTTTTTATTTAGAACAATATTTTATTTGGCTCATTAGATTATAATCATTTTCTTCCTTTTTTTATTATTAAATAAATATATTCAAGTAAACGTATATATACACTTTTTTTCTTTTACTTCTTCCTCTTCTTCATCTTCTTCTTCATAATCTTCCTCGTTTTCTTCTTCGTTTTCTCCTTCATTTTATTCATTATTTTAATTATTTATTTAAAATTCTTCAGTTTATTCTAAATAATTATTATGTATATAATGGTGTAGATTAACATGATTTTCTCTATTTAAACATATCCTACTTTCTTAATTAAAAATTTAAGGATATTAATTCTAATTTTATCTAATATCATCTTTTAACTTTTAATATTCTAGCATTATATGTTCTTTACATGCTGAACAAAATTTTCTTTTTTTCAAATATTACTATTTTAAAAAATTTATTATGAAATAAAAAATTTAATATTTTTTTATACTTATAAATTTAATAAAAATTATGACTCATCTATAAGTATTAATTCTTAAATTTCTTCTATATTTTATTCAATTATCATTTCTTAGTTATCTTTCCATAATGCTTTAAATTGTTCATATTAAAAATAATATATATATGTAATATTAAAATTATCTTTTACAGCAAGGAATAGGCTTTTTTGAATGTAATAAGCATCTATAATTTTTCTATAAATTTTATTTTTTATTCAAATTATCTTATGTAATACTACTATTTAAATGCTATTCTAATAAAAAAGCTATATTATAATTATTTTCTAATATTTTATCATTTAAATCTTATTTTAAAAAATTAAATGTTATAAATAATTATAAGAATTATATAAATATTTTGATGTAAAAAAATATATATAAAAATTTACATATATATATTAAATAATATTAAAAAATTTAAATTATATATATATATATGATACTTATTAAGTTTTATTTTTAACTAATCAAAATTTCTTGATTGAAAAGCTATTTAACTCCATTTACTTAGAAAATATCTTCAATATATTTTTGTAAGGTTTCTTTACATCCTATACAATCAATAAATTTTTAAATGGAAACATTTAACTAATGCTTACTTATTGTGGTAGCTTATTTTTTATCTTTAAAATCTAAAATTTATAATTTCTAATAAATATTATTTTAAATTTTTAAAAAATATATGAATTAAATATATATGTATATATATGTATATATATTTATATATTTATATATATATATTAATATATTTATATATATATATATATCTATATATAATTATCCATATACAATTTTATTTTATATATCTATTTTTATATTACGTTTAATATATTTTAAATTTCAGGATCAAATTTTAATTATTTTTTATTCTAAATTGTATTATGATTTTTCTATCCTATAATTTTTAAGGCTTATTATATTTGAATTTCTTATTGTTTCATTTTTATTTCTTATTATTTTATTTTAATTTCCTATTATTTAATTTTTATAGGTTTAATTTTGAATTATTCTTATTATAAAGTCGTACTTAAAAACTCTTAATATTATTTTTGATCACAAAAATAAGTTTCTTCTTCCTCTACGTCTTCTTAATCAGTATAAAAATCATCATTTTCACTATTTCTTTTATTTTTTTATTAAGCTATTTATTTTTGTGTTCTTTATTATTCTAAACAATCTAAATTTCTCTGTATGTCTTCTGGATTTATTGTTTATTTTTTTATAATGTTTTAATTTTTGAATATAGTTTAGAATGTTTTATTATATTCTATACTTGTTAATTTTTTTATTTCCTAAGTTATTATTGTATTATGCGAATTCTTTATTTTGTATAGCATTTAATCTTAAAAATTTATGTATTTTTCATTTAAAAAATTATGATTTTTATGCTAATTTTCATTTACAAAATTAGATTATTTTCCTTTTTCTTGATTTACTTCCTAGTGTAATTCTGTAGACATTTATTCTTCCTTTAGTATGCTTTTTTAATTTATTTTTTAATAAGACATTTAATATTTTATTTTTTTATTTTTCTAAAATAAATTTTTATATATAAAATATATGTATATATAAATAAATATATAAGTGTTGGCTTTTTTATTATTAGAAAAAAAAAAAAAAAAAGCTAATTTAGAAAAAAAGAAAAATAAAATACAATCATATTATTTAAGAATATAAATTGTAAAATTATTAAAGATAAATTATTATATATATATATATATATATACTTATTACTAAAAATTATATATAAAAAATGTCATTATTTATTAAATATATTATAAAGAAAAATTAATAATAAAATATTAAATTTATAAATTTTTTTTCTTTTTTTATTTTAATATTAATTTTATTATTATTTTTAATACTTGAAGAATTCTTTTTAAAGATTAAAAATATAAACTTTTTATTTATTTTTTTATTTAATTTTAAATTATAATTCTTATTAATAAATTTTAATTTTTTATTTATTTAAATTGTATTCATATATATTTAAGGTTTTCTTTAATAAAATAAAAAAAAAATGAATTTATTATTTATAATTTTGAATGTAAACTCTTTTTTAGAAAATATTCCTTCTACATATAATTTTCTTAGTAAAAATCTATTTTTTTATTATAAAATAAATTAAATAATCAAATAAATAATATATATTTATTAGTTCGAATTTTTTAGAAAAATTTTTTAATAAAAAAATATATATATATATATATATATATATATATATATATATATATATATATATATATTAATATATATATATATCTTTTTAATTACCTAAAAAATATTATACTACAATTTTTAAGTGTAAAAACAGTTTATATTAAAAAAAATAGCAAAAAACAACTAAAAAATAAAAATTAAATGGAAAATTTTAATTTCAATGAAGAATAAAAATAAATAATATTAGAAAAAAAATACTAATCAATGTAAATATTAGCATGTGCCGGTTCTGGTAAAACAACAACAATTCTCTATAGAGTATAATATTTAATAAATTAAAATAATATAAATCCAACAAATATAATAATAACAGCTTTTAATATATCAGCTGCTAAATAAATAAAAAAGAAATTAAACAATTTATTAGGTGAGAAAATATAAAAATAAATAAAAATTAATAATATAGATAAAATAGTCAAAAATTGGTTATTATTTTAAAATTAATTAAATGTAGATTAATTATATATAAAGGAATATACTAGTAAAATAGTTTTTTTGCTAAAAAACAATATTGATTTTTCAGAAAAAGTATTGAATAGTTTTGAGTATTTTTTCTTTGATGAATGTTAAGATTGTAATAATGAAGAAATCTAATTAATAGAGTTTTTTTTAGAAAAAGAGAAAAAAATTATTCTAGTAGGAGATATTGCTTAGAGTATTTATAATTTTCGAGAAGATTAAAAATTTTTAAATAATAAAAAAATATTTTTTGAAAATCTTGAAAAATATAATGTTAAAATTTATAATTTATCAACTAATTTTAGGTCTTCCTTTGAAATTATTCAATTTGCAAATTAAACTTTGGAAAAAATTAATTTTAAAAATAAAAAACTAATGAAATTTCCTAAAGAAAATTAAAAAATAGATTAATAAAAAGTAAATTTATATATTATTATTTAATAATAAAATTAATAAATAAACATTTAAGTTGCCATAAATAGATAAATATAATAGTTTAAAAGAGTAAAATGATACTTTAATATCTCTAATATAAAATCTTATTCAATAATAAAAATTATATAATTATAAAGACATAGCAATATTAAGCCGAAACAATAAATCTTTATTAATTTTAGAAGAATATTTAGAAATATATAATAATAACTCAAATGCTTAAAAAATACCTTTTAAGACAGATATTCGTGACTAGAATAATTTAAAGAAAAACAAAAAAGATGAAGATAATAAAAAAAATAATATAATTCTAACAACAATCCATAAATCAAAAGGACTTGAATGGAAGATTATTTTTTTATTAAATTTAAGTGACTAGGTATTCCCAGGGACAAACAAATCAATTATATTAGAAGATGAAAGGAAGATTTTTTACACTGGAATAACTCGGGCTAAGGAAAAACTATATTTAAGTTATGTTTAATATAAAGGGAATTTTATTTGTAGGTTTATATAGGAAATTAATAATTAGTTTTATTAAAAAAATTTTATGATTTTTTAGGAAACAAATAATAAAAAAGAAATTGATAATTTGGCTTTGAAAAATAAATATAGAAGTATATTTTTGGAAGATATTATATAACTTTTAAATAAATAAAATTTCGAATAATTAAGGAAAATAGGCTGTCTTAATTTAAAAAAGGAAATTATATAAATTCATTTATAGTGCACTTTAGGTGATTTTTTAGTCGAAAATAACTTAGTAAATGAATTTATGATTTTTTTAAAGTGTTTTATATGCAGATATATTAATGAAAGCCTGCTTTAGGAAAATATTTAGAATGTTTAGGGAGGTTTTGATAATAAATTTTGTAAAAAAGTGCTTTTTGGAGAATTTTTTAATGAAGAAGAATTTGAATTTGAGAGTCTGAATGAAAAATATATAAAGGAATAGTATATAAGGGATATAATTTGTAAATCTTATGAAAGTTTTACAGATAGGAAAAAAAAAAGCCTGGATATTTTGTAAGATATATATAATGTTTCTATTTGTTAGAGTATATCAAATTTCAGGAAAAGACTTTTGTATAAAAGGGAAGTTTTTATTCATTTTTAGTATAATAAATATATATTAAAGTAAACAATAAAGTATTTTCTTCCTTTTGTTTTCAAATAAATTTAAACTAATAGTTAAAACAAATGCAAAATATTTTTAAATTAGATTTTTTTTGATGAAAATTTCTATTTTTAAACAGATTTTTTAATTATTTGTGGACATACTTTTTTCGAGGTTTATTTCAAAGACAATGATATATTAAATTTCGAAGAAAAAATACTTTTATTAACCAAAGTTTCTGTTTTGAAAAATAGTTAAAATATTTAAATATAAGAAATTTATGTTTATTTCCCTTTATAAGGAACTATGCATGTTTTTAATATAGATTCGGGAAATAAAATGTTTAATTTAATACTTACTATACTTTTTAATGCTAGATAAGATTAAATTGAGGAATGTTTAAGGAAAAATACTTCTCATAAGAAAAAAATTGATTAATTTAAAGATTAAATTGTTTAAAATACTAATAATAATACAAATACTAATATTAATTGCGAATTTATATAGGCTAGTTAAATGTATTTAAAAGCAAAAAAATGAGAACTTATTTATATTGAGTATTTTTTTAATATTTTTAAATTTAAAAAAAAATAGTTAATTTAAAATGTTTTACAAAAATGTTTAATTTTAATATATTTTTTTTTTTAAAAAAAAATAAATAAATAAAAAAAATATAAAAAATATTAATTAATACTTATATTTTTAATCATATAAAATAAATATATATTTATACATTTTTTAAACAAAAAAATATGTAATAATAAGAAAAAAATCTATAATATGGTGATTAAATAATACTATATTCAACCGAAGAACAAACTAAATTTTTAATAGCACGTTCATTTATTGAAGGAGAATTGTTTTATATCGAATGCAATTCATAATTAGTGGATTCAAATATAGCTAATTATCCAAATACAAGTGAATTGATATTTTCTATATATCCAAAATAATATTATGAAGCTACAAAAGCTTACGAAAAATTTCAACAGAAAAAAAAGATTAAATGTAAGATCCTGTAAATTAAAAAAAATCAGAAATACTGCGGAGAAGAAAAGAAGCAGAGAAAGAGGCAAACGAAAAAATATTTAACAATTACACGGATAACCAGTATAAATAGGAGCAGAAATTTAATTGTTTCATATATATAGTAGGTCATATATTAAATCATCTAGATAAAAAAGTATTTGGGAAGATATAGAATAATAAAATATTAATAAAAATATAGAGAGTTAATGTTATTCAAATAAATAAATAAATACAAATTGCTCAAATTCAGTAAATAATGATAATAATACATATAATATTATATAAAGAAATAAATATATAAATTAATAATAAAAAATAAATAATAGTAATAATAATAAAAAAGATTTTTTTGCTTTGAAATTGACAAGAACCGCATCTTCTTCGACTCATTTTATGATAAAAATAAATCCTTTTTTAAATTTCAAAAAGATGGGGAAATAATAACTTTTTAAGATTTTTTTTATTTTAAAAATACAAAACATAATTCGATTATATAAAATTGCAATTTGCCAATATTAGATTTAACTAAAGATTAATAATATATAATAGATAATAATAATAATAATAATAATAATAATAATAATAATAATAATAATAATAATAATTTATAAAAGAGCATTTTCTATAACCCTTATGCTTTTTTAACTAATAATGTTTAAATTCCATTTACAATTGAAAGGTCAAAAATATATAAAATCTTTGTAGCAGGACATAGGAAAAAGAATATTTAAATTTTTGGTGCGATTTTTGTTAAAAGAAGTCGAGTTATTACACTTACTAATACTATTTTATACAAATAGATTAATTAATAAGTATTGGAAAAATTGACTTAACAAGAAATTAATTAATAAACTATTTTTTATGGAGATTTTTTAAGAATCAAACATGTTAAAAGAAATGATAAATAAGTGACTTAATGTATTTCTGAAAATAATCTTTGCGGTTTTTCACCTTATCTACTTTTAGCATCTGATAAGCCTTATATTTATCATGAATAGAATACTTCTTCTGGAATATTTTAAGTGCTTCCCATAAATGAATGTGATTTTGGTAAACCTATTGAATTCGATTAGTAGGATTATGGCAAGGTTGTTTTAAGAATTAGGCATTTAAATACTTCCAGATATGTTAACTTTGATTAATAATTGTAAAGTATTGTACTTTCCTAAACTTTAGAAAGCTTCAGTTAGAATTTAGTATCTAGAAATGAAGATAAATAAAAAGATAAATAATGTTTTTTTTCCTCACCAATAAGAAATACTCCTAAAAATAAAAATACAGTTGAATATTCTGTGAGAAATGTAAAAAAAAATCAAAAAATCAAAAAAATAAAAAACTAAAAAAAAAAAAGAATCAAATAAAATAAAGTATATAAAAAGGTGAAAAATATTAATTTAGTTCTTATGTATAAGAGTAAATGTTAAAAGATGATATATTAAAAGAATGGTTTAACTAAAATGCTGATTTAACAATCGAAAGTGGAAACCGAGAGGAAAAATACTTAGAAGCATATAATTCTTTTAGTATAAAAGACGAAAAAACAAACAGTTATGCAAAAGTTAATGTAAATGATAATGAAACTTTCGAAGCATTATAACATAATTAAATAGATGATGATTTCTATATTTCTATGTTTAATAATTTGAATCCTTTAGAAAGAAAATATTACTTATGTTAATAATCTTAATAGAATGGTGATTTTTTTTATTTTGTTCCTATATAAAATAATTTAATTTCAGATATTATGAATATTAATTGTCATATTCATTAACTTTATTCTATCCTTGAAGAACCTTCTAAATGTCTTTTTTTGTCCAAATATATAGAAAAAAGTCAATATTGTATCCTTAATTTACTCTTATGGTTATGTAATATAGATATATCGGAAAAAGTAATTAATAAAATAAAAAAATAATAAAAAAAAAAACTATTAATCTTTTTTTAGTAAAAACCTTCTATTTTAGATGTAAATCAACCTCCGGAGGCTTAAAAATAGAATTATTGTAGAGAAATAGGTCTTATTGATATTTTAATTCGAATATTAAATGCTATATATTTGGATAAACTATTACATATATAAAATTTAGAATAGAATGATTATATATTTTTATTTACTTAAAATTTATTGAAATTATTAGAAAATATATGCCATAAAGTAAAAAAAATAAAAAAATTTAAATAAAAAAATATTTAAACTAAAAAAATCAGAATTATGCAAATTCTGTATATACTATTTAGTGGTATTTTTTATTAAAGTAAATTATTTTGGACGAAAATGTGATTTCTGATATTCGTTTTGATCTTTTTATTAATACTTTATTTAAAATAACAGATTTAAATGTATCTTTTTAGGATGATTTCGAAAAAATCTCCACTAAAATTTAATTTGAGATATTTAATATAAATGCTTTAAATTTAATTCTTGCATTTTGCTAATATAATGAATATAGATAAAAAGATTAAGAAGAAGAAATGGTAAAGACAATAATTGATTGCCAAGATAATATATTTAGGCCTTACATTTTAAATTAAGAAAATCATAGTTAAGTTTATCTTAAAATTAATGACAATTAAAGTTATTTAATTGACGAAAATTTAGAAATTTAAGAAAAATAAATTTTCGATTATAGTGCAGGTGTCATTAATATCATGATAGAACTATGTTAAGCTAATGTTTCTTTAGTTATGAATTATGTAAATTAATTTTATCCTTTAGATATTATTTTTACAATAATTTAAAATGAAAAATTATCACCAGCATATAGAGTTAAATATTATATATAAATATATATATATAAATAATATAATTATATATTTTATATATTTTTATTTATTTGTATTAACAAATATAATTAGGCTATTTTTTTAAATTTATTGTAAAAAAGTTATATGAGTTTTGATTTTAAAGATTGCTTAATATTTAAATATCCAAACAATATTAAATTTATGGAATGTGTTTAAGTTTTAACAAATACAAATGAAAATCTTTACAACAATTATTTTTCTTCTAAATTTAATTTAAAAAATTATTTAAATAGTTAATTATTAAAGATGCATATTTTATTAGAAGAGTAAATTAATAATATAATATAAAACGAATTTGACCGTTCTGTATTTGAAAAGGAAATTAAAGAATATTAATATTTAATAAAAATAGTTTTATAAATTTAATCATTTCTTCTTTAGAGGCATTTTTATGATATTTTTGAATTAAATAATTTATAAATGAATATAAAGACTTTATTTAAATTATAAGTTTAAGTATATGAGAACTATTATTTATAAAGTACTAAATAAGATTTGGATAAAATAAATGGATTATCAGTTAAGAAAGAATACGTAATTTAATCTATAGAATAGTCTGAATGGATATTAATTTCTTTGTTAATTTTAAAACAAATAGAATATATTAAATAAAATGATTTATTAGAAAATCTATATAAAAATTAACAAACTTAAAAATATTTTAATTAAATAGGTTAAAATAAAATCTAATTAAACCGCGCAATTATAGAGTTTGGAGAAAAATCTATAAAATAGTAAAATTTAGAAGATAAAAAATTAGTAAAATAACTAATTAAGGTCCTACTTTTTTCCGATATAGAAATTAAAGGTTAAGTAGTGTCTAATATATATAACATTTATTCACGAAAAATGCATTTTTATACAAGCGTTAATAACACTTTTTTAATAAATTAAAATAATTTTCAAATATACAAAAAATTCGAAAAAATCTATGATGAAATACATTCCTAAATAATTAATTTAAGATATCTTCTAAGTTATTAAAATGACTAAAAAGGGATTTTTTTATAATCTTTATAAAAATAATTTAATTAATTATGTGATATGCTTTTTGTTAAAATAGAAAAATTATCGAATAAATAAATATAGAAATAAGATAAATATAATGTCTCATAATCAGTGCATATTTAAAATTCTTCTAATGCGTATATTTAAGATGCATAAGATTATAAAGTAAATAAAAGTGATGGAAGCGATAGAAGTGACATAAGTGATAAAAGTGATAAACTATATAATTAATCTAATAAAAATAAAGATAATTATAATGTAATAAAATATATAGATATATATATATATATATATATATATATATATATATATATATATATATATATATATATATATATATATATTTCTATTCTTTTATAATTATTTTTTTATTTAGATTTCTAATACTTTAGTACATTTTAATGAAGATTAATATTACAATATATGGGGATAATATTATGTTGATATGACATAATTATAAAATCATTAAAATTTAATGGCTAATATGAACTTTCATTCCAAAATTTTAGAAGTTTTAGAATTTTTTTTTAAATAAACTTCACTTTTAAAGGGTATGGAAAATTAAAAAAAATAAATTTGTATTCTTTGTTTGGTTATTTTAATAAATTTTTGTTTGAGAAATTAATAAAATAAAGAACTACTTTTAAATAATAAATCTTTGACTGGTAAAAAATCAACAGAGATGTAAAACTCGGAAAAAAGCCTTTCTTTTAGTCTAGTTTAGAACGATCCTAAGGTTTAATCATTATTTTTCCTTTTGATTTCTTAACTTTAAAAAAATAATTATGGAGAATTAATGAATTTTTCATCTTCCAAATCAGCAGCAAAATCTATTTTGTAAGAAATAATGAAAAAAATAGCAAAATAATTGCCTTTTGATAGTACTTATTCAATTTATTTTTTAGATATTCTTAAATACTTTTTTTAAATTAATGGAAAAAACATAAGTTAAAATTTAATTTTTATAATTTCAGAACTTTAGGACAAATACGCAGATTTTAGCATTAATATATAAAAACTTATATCTACGGAACTTGAAAAACTACCTATAATTAATGTTTATATATATATATATATATATATATATATACATATATATATATATATATATATATATATATATTTATTTTTATATCTTTAAATATTATAGTTTAATTAATAAGATACAAATTAGAAAGAATATATAATTTAATTTCCAGATTATGCATGTATATTGATATGTCTTTTAAGGACATTTAAATTAATGGTAAAAAATGCATCTTCTTAAATTTACACATTTGTACGTTCTGTTTTTCAATTAAATAAATAAAAGATTATTTACTTAAATCATAATATTTATATCCATTAAAATAAGAATTATTATAATTTTTGATGGCTACATATATAAATGCTAAATAAATAGAACCTTCTGAATATTTAGAAATCAGTTAAATTATAAATGGATTATTATTAGAGTTATATATTTATATAGAAAATAGTTAAAAGAAGGATTATTATTCTCAATTTTAATTAATTTCTTTATAAAATAATATTCTTTAAGAAACTTATAATTATTCTTAAACTAAAATTGTTGAAGTTAATCTTTTTGATTCTTTTGAATATTATATAATTGAATCAATTATTCCTACTTTAAAAGGATTTTGTAATAAAGTTAATAAAATTAAATAATAATTTTTATATATACATTTTTTATTTTTCAAGATGCTTCCAAAACCTTCAGATAATGATATTAGATAAGTTGAGATGTAATAATATATTTATTTTTTTAGAAATATATTTATTAATTTAATATATATATAAATATATTTAGATTTCTTGATTAATTTTAGATTATATATGCATATTGGGATGATAGAGAAAATTATTGGCATTAAATAAATGGAGTTGATTAGGATTGTGTTTAAAGATTATAATAAGAATTTTAATAATGTAAAAACCGTAATAGTTTACTTCCTAGTGTATCTTTTTTATATTATTTATTCAATAATTATAATAAATATGAATATTTTATTTTATTTTTTATTTATATTAGAATAAGATAGAAAAAGAAAAAAAATTCTATAATATAAAAGAAATCTGTTTTAAATATATCTGAAAAGCAACAAAATAAATATCTTTAAGGTATACTTTTACAGATAAAGAAGAAATAAATTAATCTAAAGTAATTAAAGTTCAGAAACTAATAGAAGAATTAGATAGAGTAAGTTAGATATAATAAATAGTTGAAAATTCTTACAAATAAAAAGTAAAATAAGAATAAGCATTTAAAGGTCTAAAAAAAAGGCCGTTAATAAGATTATTTTTAAAAGAATTTTATAAAAAGAGAACATAATTTAGAATTCGAATAATTAATAGATATTTTTATAGATATACAAGCTAAATCACCTGAAAAAGTAAATATATTTTAATAAATAAATTAATTTAAATTTTTATAAACAAAAAAAAGTTTAGAAAAATTTTATAATCATTTATTGATGTGTTAACAAAATATACTGGAAAAAAAAATGAATAAGAAATGAATACACGATTATAAGCAATGAAAATTCTACGAAAAATATCTAATTATAAAAAAGATTAATAAATAAGTGATATTATATAAAAAGATTTAAATGCGATGGGTTTTTTAAATTTTTTATGTGATGTAATTGTAGTAGAAGATGATCCAAAAATGAAACTTGAATATATTCTTGGTCATAATAATTTTATGGAAAAAGCAAATAGCGAAATATAATTAACATTCTATAAATATTTATAAAATGATGTATCTAATAAATTTATAAGGACAATATAAAATTTCATTAAAGAAAATTTCAATTAATTTAAAAGTTATATCAAAAATGATATTTAAAATGCTCATTTAGATGAAAAATCTAACAAATTTAATAAAGTAATTATTTATATATATATTAAATATATTTATATATAATTATATATCTAAAATTAATAATAATTATATAATATTTTATAATTTATTTATATATAAAATTTTACTTTTACAAAATAGTTATTATAATTATAATTATAATTATTATTATTATTATTATTTTATTATTATTATTATTATTATTATTATTATTATTATTATTATTATTATTATTATTAATATTATTATTATTTCTATTTATATTTATTAAAGATAATGGATAATATATAAGAAAATTGTATATAATCTATGGAATTAATTAGATTATCTTGTGAAAACCATTTTTATTAAATGCAAGATTTTATGAGAGTATAAATTGATATTAATGGCGAAATAAAGACTAATTCTATAAACATATTAATATTTTTAGCAGATATATTTGAGAAATATTATAAAATAATGAATGAGACTAATTTTAATTTTGGACTTTAAGTTCTTCATACATTAATAGAATTAATATAAGGTCCTTGTATAGAGAATTAAAATGTTCTTTGTCATACTAAATTATTGGAAAATTTAGAGGATATTATTGGTGATTTTATAGGCAAAAGTTAAAGGTTTACTTAGAAAAAGTTGCTTAACTAGAGGATTTTTACATAATTTTCAAGGAAAGTTTTACTGACTATTAGAAGTCTTTTTGTTGCGAATTAAGATAAATATATCATAAGGAAAATTGCTTAATAAGTAGATGGTAAAGACTATGTTTTGAAGATGAATTAATCTTATAAATAATATTTATAAACTTATTAAAAAATACGAAATAAGCATGAAGGGTTAAAAAAATCATTTTAAATTTCTAAAAATGAGAAACTTATTGAATATGTACTTAATAGAGATGATAAAAACGAAGAAAATTCAAATTTAGAATATAATGAAGGCTTTGGCGAATTTTAAGATTAAAATTTAGTAAAAAGTAATTAAAAAATATAAGATTTTGATAAAAATAATAATAATTCTTTGCATATAAGCAAGATTAGTGCTAATTAGAAAAAATGCTTCGAAAACGAAAGAGGATTAAGCTTTAAAGAATAAAATCTTATATATTTTATAAGGGCTGATGAATATATTAATGAGGGATTTGATTGTTATATTTTGCTTAAAAATTTGTAATTTTTAGACTAGAATTTTAAAAATGCATATAATTTGATAAAATAAAAAATTGTAAATTATTAATATAAATAAAAATATTTAATTATAATATATACATGTATATTATATATATGTATATATAAAATATTTTATATATATATATATATAAATATTTATTTATGTTTTTTTATATATATATATTTCATTTTTTATATATCTTATATTTTTTTAGAATAATGGTTATTTTGATATAGATAAAGATCTAAAATAATGCTTAAATTTTTTCAAATAAAATACTTTATCTATAGAGATAATTAATTAATAAGGAAATTTATAGAAAATATATTTCCGAAAACCTAAATTGATAAAGTATTTTTCAACTACTTCTAAATAAAGGTTTCTTCACTTATGCGATAGAGAAACTGCAAATTAGAAAATATAAGGTTTATTAAGATAATATCCTTCATTTCTAGACGAAATGAATCACTTTTTGTTTTTGAATTCTAAAGGATTATTTTTTAATTTGACTTATTTATCCCGAATTAGAAATTTTAACTTAATTATTATTTTAATTATTAATTTGTAATAAAATAAAAATAAAAAAAAAATATATATATGAATATTTTAATAAATAAAGATTTATATTATTTGAATGGGAAGGTGATATTAATTAATAAAGAATTATAGAACAATAAACTTAAAACTAAAAAAATATTTATTTATTCAGAATTTTTTTATAATTTTTTTAGCTTTCAATCAGTGTAATTATTTTTATTATTTGGGTAGTATTTTAGTTTCCTCTTGAATATAAAAGTATAATAAGAATTTATACACAAAAATAACATGATACTAAAAAAAAATTGTAAGAAAAAAGTGAATTAAGGAAAAAATCAGGGATATAAAAACAAATAAATAAAGTATTTTAAATTAAAATTAAAATAAAATAATATAATATAACGAATATATTTATAAATATATAAATATATAAATATATATATATATATTTTATTCATATATTCATAATTCTTATTATAGTTAGCAATATTAATAAAGAAATTTTTTTATATAATGAATGATTTTTTATTTAGTAGTCATTTATTGTATTTAATAATATCTATATTATTTAGTGTTTTAGGAATATCTTCTAGTCCGTTATTCTTTTGTTTATTATTATTAGATATAATAGATCGTTCTGTAAAAAATTAAAAAATTATTAAATTATTAAATATATTTTATATATATATATTATATAGGTTGTCTTAAGAAATGTTATAAAATCAATTACATTAAATTCTGTATCTTTAATTATGACAGCAATTTTAGGAATAGTTATAGTTTATATATATGCAATAGCAGGATTTTTCAATAGTGATTTGAAAAATTCATTTGTTTTTAAAGGAAATAATGACGATATGAAAGTATGTGAAACACCAATTGATTGCTTTATTTTATTTTTAAATTTAGGATTAAGAAGTGGAGGTGGAATAGGAGATGCTTTTGTAGATATATCACCTGAAAATTAATAATATAGCGCAAGATTTATTTTGAGTTTAAGCTTTTTCCTTTTAATAATTGTAATTTGGCTTAATATTATTTTTGGAATTATTATTGATACTTTTGCTGAATTAAGAGATATAAAAAATTTAAAAGGTGAAAAAAAATATAAAAATATTAATAAAAATAAATATATATATATATAATTATATATATATATATATATATATATATATATATATATATATTATATTATAGTATAATGATTAGAAGAATAGATGTTTTATTTGTAATTAAGAAAGATCTGATTTTGAAAATGATGGTATTAATTTTAAAAAACATACAGAATAAGAACACCATATATGGAATTATTTAGCATATATTATTTTAATTGATAAAAAAGATTTAAATGAATATGATGCTGTTGAGTCTTATATTAAATAATTAATTGTTTAATAAGATGTTTCTTGGTTTCCTATTGGAAAATCTTTATCTTTATAAAAAGTATAATTAAAATAATAAGAAGAAGATAATATTGTCAAAAATTAAAAAGAATTTTTGGAAAAAAATAAAAAAATTAATAATTTATGATTTTTTTATAAATAATTAATAATTATTTTTTAAAAAAATAAAAATATTTAATTTATAGTTTTAAAATCTTATTTTTTTTATTATAGGTAAAGAATTATAAATCCTTATTAAAAACAATAATTTTATTTATATATATACTTTTTTATATTATGTAATTATATATTTTATCCAAATTAATAAGCTATCTAAGTATTAAATATATTTATGATTTACATTTAAAGTGATTAATATATTAATTTTAATAAAATGATATATTAGTATTAATATTAATATTAATATAATATTATATTATATTTATTTTATACAATTTTAATATTTTTATTATGTTCATATTGTAATTATCTTAAAAAAAATTTATATTATTTATATATATTAAATTATAAATAAAATCTAATAACTTAAGTTAATTTTGTATTTATATAATTTTATTTTTTTATATATAATTTATTTAATTTAATTTATTTTAAATTTATATGTATATTTTTTGATTTAAGATAAAATTATTAATATAAATTTATCCAAAAAAAATATTATAATGAATATATATAAAAATTAAAAAAATATATTAAATCTAATATAATATTTATTAAATTAATTAATTTTATATGAAAAAATAAAATAAATAATAAATAATATTTTAAAAAATAAATTATAAAAATATATTATATATATATATAAATATATATATATATTTATATATATATATATATTCATATTTTTATTATCTTTTTATATCATAATACATTTTAATTTTTTTTTGAGATTTTATTTTTTTTCTATAAATTCTAATTAAATTTTTTTATAACTTTCGAGTTCAAATATTTTATTTAATTTTAAAGTATTTAATTATTTTAATATTTTCATGACTGTTAACTTTATAATTTAATTTGATTAGTAATTTTTTTTTAGGTTATAACTAAGATAATTTCTTATTTTAATTTTGTACATTTTTTTTTAATCTATTTTTTGCACATTTACTAAATTATATTTTGCTCTTTATATTGGTAGAATTTTTATTTTATTTTATTTATATTACATTATATATTTAAATATAATTTATTCTTTATCAAATATGTTTTAATATGGTTTTAAATTATTACCATAGATTCTTAAAGTTTGACAACATTTTTTTATATTGTTCAATTAATATAAATTTTAATTTTTATTAAACAAAAAAAAAACTTATTTTTATAATTAAATATAAAATAATTTAAAATAAAATTTTATAATTATAAATTACTTAATATATATATATATATAAATACAAGCATTTTCTTCGTTTTTAATTTTTTTACATAAAAAATATTATATTAAATACAAAATGAAAGATATAGAAAAAATTCCTCTAAATAGTATAAAATATCAAGAATATATTTACTAATAAAATTATTTAACGGAATTATTTTGCAATTAATGTTAATAAGATTAAAAATATATTTTAAATTATAATAGTGGAATAGGTACATATCTATTATGTTTTATTGGATGTTTTTTAGCTATTATACCTGGTATATTTCCTTTTTTTTTCAAATAGTGTAAAGATAAAGTTTACTATTGTTCGATTTGTAAGTAATAAATATATATAAAAAGATTTGAACCTTTTCATTTTGAATGAAAAAAAAAAAAAAAAGAAAACTTGATTAATAACATATTTATAAAATTATATATATTTTGAAAATATAAATATAAACTTGATATTATAAAATTATATATATATATAAATTCAAGAAAAAAATCAAAAAAAAATAGTAAATAATAAATAATTTACATATATATATATTTTTACTATGAATAAAAATTATTATTGCTCTTTTTAAAAATGAATTAAAAAGTAAAATAATATTTGTTTTGGTCTAGAGTATTTTACATAACATCTCATCTAATAATATTAATTTTAACATTCAAATACGATAATGAAATAAGACAAGCAATAAAAATAAGCATATTTACCTTCCATTAGTATATTTTCTTTCTGGAATATTGGCTATGCATTTATATTTCATTTGTGGCAAAAATCCAGGGTTCGCACCATCTAATTAAGACGACAGTACAAATTTTGATTAACCATTTAATACTTTTTACATCTAGCATGAATTAATAAATTTATAAATACAATAATAATCAGTCCATAATAGTATTAATAACAGTATAAAAAGTAGCAATCATAATAGCATTAATTATGAAAATAATATATAAGAAAATAAAGGTTTTAGAAGTATATAAATTTAATAATAAGAAGAAAATTTACCGGAATTACATTATTGTCCTGCTTGTAATAGATTTTAGCCTTATAGAACTAGACATTGTTATTTATGCGAAAAATGCATTTGTAAATATGATCATCATTGGTATTTTTTATTTTATTTTTTCATTTATTTATTTATTATTGTTAATAGTTTTTGGATTGGAAGTTGTGTAGGGGAATTAAATCATAGAATCTATTGGGTTTTTTATTTTTTAGAGTTTTTTCTTGGAATGACTTTTAAAAATGTAAAGAAGAATTTTCTATTAATTAAAAAAATATTTATATGATTTTTATTAATTTTTTTTTTTTTTTATTCTGATTATTTTTAGTTTTTATTTTAAATTTTGAGAGGGTTTTCTAAATGTTAACATAAATACCATGAAGGATATATATATTATTTAATTGCTTGCTTATTTCTTACAGTTTTTACTGTTTTTACTGTAATTTTATTATTTATTTATTTTGTTATTTATAATTTTAAGACGATGCTTCTTTTATACCATACATTTTTAATACTTACTAATTAAACTACATGGGAACATTGCAAAAAAAATAGTCTTTCTTATATGAAAATATATCCCAAAGGATTTTACCCATTTGATTAAGGATTTATTAATAATATAAAGTAAATATTTTGTCATAATAACAAATTAAGGTATTTTATATATTTAAAAAATATATAAATATAAAAGGATATATATATATATATATATAATATAAATATATATATATATATATTAGTCAATGGAAATTGCCTAGTATAAAAGAAGCGGAAATTATTCGTTAAAATAGTTATAATATTTGCGAAAATCAATATTATGATTTCTGTTGAAATAAGTAATTAATAATATTGTTTAAAATTCTCTCTTGTATCCTTTTTATTACATTTTTTGAAAATAATTTATTTATTTTTGAATTAGATAAATAAATAAACTATACATTAAGTTTTAAAGATATTCGTTTTTATTTAATATAAATAAAAATAAATTAATAATTATTTATGTTAAATATAGAATATTTATTACATTTATAAAATTATTTATAATATTATATAAACTGTATAAATTATATATATTTTGACTTTTTAAAATAAAACCTCTTTATATTTTAAATTAATAAATTATTTATAAATTAAATATTTTATTTATTATATTGTAGTAAGTATTATTTTTATTATATTGAAGTTAGTATTTTATTTATTATATTTTATTAAAAAATACTATTTAATATAAAAAAGAAAAAAAGAAAATATAGATTTTATTTACAATCGAAAAAAAATAAATTTCAATGAATAATTATTTATTACAAATCATATTAAATACCATATAATAATTTTTTAAAAAAAATCAAACAAAAAATTAAACAATTTTATAAAAATCGATATTTTATGTAAGATTTAATTCGAAGATATTCCACTGACTATAAATATATAAATTTTACAAAAAACATAGTTTATTTTATCAAAAAAATGATTATTTTTGCTTTATTTCTGGTAATTTCAATCTATCAATCCCATCTTTATCATTTAATGTTTACATAAAATATAATGCATTTAGCATTTTTATATTACATGCTTCTATAATAATTTATTTATAAAATAAAATTAATTTTTATATCTTTGTTTTTTATACTAAGGCAATGTTCTTCTGTATGACGAAGCTTTCTTGTTGGATCTTTTATGCATTTATCAAAACATAATGTTTCGTATTCTTAAAGTTTTTTATATAAAATTTCTGTTTATTTTGGTAATTAGGACATTGAATTTTTTTTTGTGTTTATTAATTATTAAAAAAATAATCTTTTTTTTTTTTTTTTTCAAGCAAAAAATTAATCTTTTATTTTATTAATGATTATATTTTATTCATATTTAAATTTATATTTAATTTTTATTTTAATAAATTATTTTATTTTTACACAAAAAATATGATTAATTATTCAAAATAAATAAATAAATAATTAACCTCATAAAAATTATATTTATTATAATTTTTTATGTTTTATACAATTCATAAATTCATACTTTAAATATTAATTCCATTTTCTTTTGTTTCTTTAATAGTATAAATAGTAATTGCAATAGAATAAATAATATAAATTTGAGTCATATTAATAAAAAATTTAAAATAATTTTTATTTCCTTTTCCAATACATTTTCCAATCCAAGGACAATGATGATTAAAATTTCTAACACAAATATTACAAATTTCACAATGTTCAGTATATATATCCTTGTAAATATTACAAACATTACATTCTCTATATATAATTTTTATTTTTATAAAAAAAAAAAAGCATTTATTTTTTTTATTATACCTAACTTAAAAGTTCACTACTTATTACATTTTTTCTATTACATATTATGTTTCTTAATCGTTTTATTAAGCATATCCTGGATCTGCTAGTGCAGTAATTAAATAACTGCTTAATTATAAAACACTTATAATTGTCGTTATAACTATCCATACTATTTCAACATTTTTTTTTATTAAATTTCCTGTTATTAAACAACTTAATATAAATAATCCTATCCATACACTTATAAAAATAGGCCCTTTTTAAAAAAAATTAATTATATATTTTTATTTGATTTTGTTTTGTGCTAATTACAGTGTGGACCAACTGTTATTAAAGGTGTTCCATTTTCCTAAAGTAATAAAACTATGTTTTTCCGTAATATGTTTGAATATGTGATTCTTATTTTTATGATTATTTTCCATTGAATTAATTGAATCATTCATTTAAAACTCGATATCGACATCATATTATTCTGTACTTATCTGTTCAGTATTTAATTGATAATATTAGTTTATATTCTTTTTCATTTGCTTTAATTTTAAAAATATAAAATATATATTATTTATATATAAATAAATAGAGTATTTCTTTTTTAATTATTTTATTAATAAAAAAATATTTTTAAAATTTTATTATTTTTTATATTTATAATTAAACAATCATATATATATAATATATATGTATATATATATATATATATATTAATATAATATATATTATATATATTATATATATATTATTTATTTTATAAATTTTAACTTAATATTTTAATATATTTTTAAATTTATTTTAATTTATTTTATTTTATTTTAATTTAATTATTTTTTTTTTTTATATTATTTCTAATAAAAATTAATATAATATATATTATATATATTTTTTATATAAAAACAATTATATATATGATATTTTTTTATATTTATAAATAATAATTAATTGTATCACAAAATATTTTTTTTTTTTTTTATACTTTTCATAATATTATTTTTAAATAAATAATATAAATTTAATAAATATTTCAAAAAAATAAAATATTATCAATTTTTCTTTAAATTTTTCAAAAAAATATAAATTTTTGTAATATAAAAATTCTAAAATAATAATTATCTTTATTACCAATTTGAAAAATATGTATTTTTCTTATTTGTTTAATTTTAATTATAAATCATCTATTACTTAAAAAAATTAAATTTTCTTTCAAATTTTTTATTTTCTTAGATTTAATTTTCTTTTTTATTATATTAATTTTAATTTTTATCAAAGTTTTTATATAATATATATTAGTCAATTTTTATATTATAATTTTAATATAAAATTTAAAGTAGTCTTTTTATAATAATCCTTTTATAATTTTTCATTTATAATAAATTTTAAATAAATATTTTTTATTTTTAAGTCAATATCCAATATATATTTATTTTAACTTGATAAAGTTTTTTAAAATAAAAAATTAGTTTTAATACAATATATAATATAATATAGTTATTCTAATAAAATAATAAATCTATTGTTAAATAATTTTAAATTAATTTTATAAAAACTTAATTTTGTATTATTCTCTATTAAAAATATAAAATTATATATTATTTTTATCTTAATAAGACATTTAATAATCCAGATACTATTATATATATACTTTTATGTTTCTTATGATTACGATTAAATTGATTATATATTTTTTATTACTTAATAATAACTAAAGCTTACATAATATATAATTTGTAATTAGACCTAAATATAAAAAAGTTAGGAATAACTATTTTAAGAAGATAATATTTTGCCTAGTATAATCTAAGCAAATAAATAAGTTATTTCTTTAGAAAGTAACAATAATATTTTTTTTTAATATAATTGTGGTATTATTCTAATTAATATACTAATTTTGTATTATCTTATTATAATTAATTTATATTAAATAAATTTTTATTTAATAGAATCTAAAAATAAATATTAAATTATTTTTAATGGAAATTATAGTAGAGCATTTGGAATTAACTTATTGGATATTTCATATATTTAAAAAAACATAATAATATTCTTATAGGATATTCTGTTTATTAAACTCTATAATTTAAAGGAATGAATATAGTTTTAGAAAAAATTTAATTTATAGAAGATAACTTGGTCCAAAATAAATGCAAACACTTTAAAATTAACGTGATATTTTAAATAAAGAATTTATGTGACTAAAAGATTTATTGAAATAAATGTAAAATAAAAAATAAATATTTAAAATTATTAAATTAATTTTATTAATTTTCTAATTTATTATTTATTATTTAATATTAAAATGTTATTAATTATAATATCTTGAAAATATATACATGTTTTAATTTTTTTTATTTATTAAAAATATTAATATTTGATATCTTTTTTTTTTATTATATTTTTTTATATAATTTTAAAAATAAGAATAAAAAAGTTTATTTATAAAATATAAAAGAAAAGAAAATATGATAGTAATAAATTATATAATCAAAATTTATATAATTATTATTTTTTTATTTAAATTTTTTTATGTTTGCTTTAAAAATTAAGAAATATATATAAATAAAATTGTATAACTAAATATATTATTATGGATATATAAAAATTTTATAATTTAAAAATATTTTTTTTATTTTATTTATATATAAGAAAAAATAAAATATAATTTATAATAGAAAAAATAATAATAAATTATATAATTTAAATAAAATTTATCTAAATAAATATTTATATTTAAAAAAATAAATATAAATTATTGTATTAATATTTATATTTATATTTATTTAATATAAATTATAAAATATATAAATTATTTAAAAAATATTTAAATTAATATAACCTTAATTATATTTATTATAAAAAAAAACAAAATATGGAATGAAATAATATAATTTATATAATCTACTGAAAATATATATTATTAAAAAAAGTATAAAAATATTTATTTCTAGATATATAGATATTAATATATTTTGTTTATTAATTTTTCTTTTATATTATATTTAAAATTATGATTTTATAAGATTAAAATTACAGAAGGCTTAATTACATTTTGTAATCCGTATATAATTATAATGTGAAATAATAAAGAAGATATATAAAGAGAAAAATTTAAAAATCCTGCCTTCTTATAAATATAATAATGGATAAACTTTTAATATTTGTTTTTTTACTAATTTAAATTAAAATTATATTGTTCATTATTTAATTAAAGATATAGTTAAAAATTTAATAAAAAATAATTGTTTTAATTATTATATATTTTTAATTATAAAAATTATTATATATATATTTCTATCATAAATTATATGATTAATTGTAATTATATAAAAACTAAAGTTTAAAAATTCTTATTTATAATAAATTTTTGTAAAAATATATATTATTCTGTTTATTATATATTACAAATTTTTATTTTGTTTTTTTTATAAATAATATAATTATAAAAAAGACTTCAATTAAAACAATATTATTTATTAATTTTATTTAAATATTTTCATTTCATTTAATAATATTTAAAAATATGTAAATAATATATATATGTATTAAAATTTATAAATATATAAATATAATTATTTATATATATATATTATTATATATTTTTTATATACTTATAATAAATATATATATGTTTGTTTTTTCTTTATTATATAAATACTTTATTATTTAATATATTCAATTTTTTTAATCTATTTTTTTATTAATAAAATAAATACAAGAAAAAATAGTACATTTAATACAAAATAAAAAGTAAATGGACAATACTGATAATGTTAATGATAATGATAAATAAGATAAACAAATCGTCGTAAAAAATATAAACATAAAAATTATTTTATTTTTAATTTTTAAAAATAAAAATATATATATTTTTTCTTTAATAATTAGTAAACTAAAGATATATCAGCGTGCATTTTATTCGTTTTATTTATACTTGTTTTAAATGAATTAATTTAACATAAAATTAATTATTTAAAATAAAAATTTAAAGTCTTTTAATTTTTATAATCATCATCAATAATAACATTATTAGGTAAAAAATAAATAAAATAATTAATAACAATCATTTTTTTCAATATTAAAAAGGCATATTATCAGGATATTTACTAAATTTAACTAATATTTTTGATATCGTAAATATAATAAAAGAAGGTTTTTCATAATTTTTCCTTATAGTATTATTACCTCCTATAATTTACGAATCTTCTATAAATATTTAAAAAGTTTTTTTTTTTTATTTTATTTTAATTTCCAATAAAAATTATTAAAGACACATTTTTTTAAAAATATCGGAAGTATATTAAGTTATGCAACTCTAGGGACTATAATATCTACTTTTGTTATATTTTCTTTACTTTATTTATCTAAATTTATGGGTTTAACTTAATTGGGAAATTTAGAGTGTTTAAGTTTTGGATCATTAATAAGTGCAACGAATCCAATGTCAATAATAAAAATTTTAATGTCATAAAATATGGATAAAAGCTTAAATTCGTTAGTTTAAGGGGAGTCTATATTAAATTAGGCAGTTTCTATTATATTATATAAGTAAAAAAATGAATATACACAAATTTTATATTAATAATATTTAAAAAAGTACAACTTTAGAAATAAGAGGATATATAGGAAAAGGAGTAGTTTTCAGAAGTATTGAAAATTTTTTGTCTGTTTTTTTTGGGTCTATTTTTGTTGGATGGATTATAGGAATTTTTTGTGCTTTTGTAAATAAAAAAGAAAAATATAATTTTATTTTAAAAATAATAAAAATTAAAGTCTTTAAAAAATAAAGATTAGTCTAATCCATAAGCCTAAGAAAATAAAGAAATGACAATTTTATTAATTATTCCTTGGTTTAGTTATTTAGTAGCTGAAGGACTTAAAATGTCTGGTATTTTAAGTATTCTTTTTTGTGGTATTACTTTAGTTAAATATACTTTACCAATAGTATCTGAAAACGCGAAAAAAACTAACTAAAAATTATATAGTAATTTATCTTATCATTTCTAAAATATTGTTTTTTTATTTATTGGAGTTGGCTTAGTTAGTTTTGATTTGGCATGGGAGTATATATTATTATTTATATGTTGTTTTTTTTTTAATATATATAATATATATATGTAGTTAAACAGGAGTGCTTTTTTATTTTTTGTATTTGTAATTGTTAATATAGGAAGATTTGTTAATATTTAAGTCGTGTCTTTTTTTTAAATAATAGGAGAAAGCATAAAATTAATAGTTCTTTTAAATTCATTTTATGGTTTTCGGGTTTAAAAGGGTGTACTTCATATGCTTTAGCTATGAACGCGAATGAAATTTTTAAAGATAATTAATAAGGAAGAATTATGTTAACTATAACTTTACTTTTTTCGATTATTAATGTTTTTTTTTATTTTATTTTTTTATTTTTATTATTATTTATTAATTTTAAGATTTTTATACATTCGTCAATTTTTTAGTTTATTTCAAAAAAATATAATTCAAAGTAAAGTAAAAAAAATATTATTTTTTTGATTTTTTTTTTTAAAAAAAAACAAAAATAAAGGATGAGTGAATATTAAGAAAATGAATAAAAAAATATAGAAATAGAAAACTAAATAAATGCAAATAAAGAATATAAAGGTTTTTTTCATTAATTAAAAGAAACATTTATTATATTTGATAAAAATTTCTTGTAGAAACTATTATATGAGTATGAAAAAATAAATATAAATTTTAATATTTTTTTAAAAAAAAATAGTGATATTTTTAATCAAGAAAATCAAGGATAAAAAAATATTTTAGAAGATTAGTAAAATGAAGAAAATAAAAATTAAAACTCAAATTTAGATAATAATTAAGGTAAAATAAAAATATTTTATATATTTTATTAATAAAAAAATAAGTGAATATTCCTTTAAAAAATATACATAAAAATTTAGGAAAAAGATATTCAATTAATAATGAGAACAAAAAATAAGTAGTATTTAACACATTATAAGTAGATTCTGATTTAATTAATAATTAAATAAGAAAAAATGAAAAAATTTAAAATAATAATTGAGAAAATAATTGAATATATATAAATATATATAAATATATATATATATATATTTTTATATATTTAAATATATATTAATTTTATATATAAATATAAGTATTTATTTTATTTTTTTTAACATTTTTTTTATTTTAAAGTTAATCTTTTTTATTTAATTTTATATTTTAACTTAAATATTTTATCTATACATTGTAAAATAGAATATTAATTTATTTTTTTATATTTTAATATATTATATATGTGTAAATTTTAAATACAAAACAATATTTTATTTTATAATAAATACAAAATAATATATTATTTTTATTTAAAATATTATAGATATTTCTAATCTAGCTTGTTTTCTTTAAAATATTTATGAATAAAATATATTAAATTTTATTATTTTTTTTTATTATAAATTATTTTTATTAAACATTTGTTATCTCATTTTACATTTTATATATTTAATTTATATAAAAAAAAAAAAAAAAAAATATTTTTTAATTAAAAATTTTAAAAAATACTAATTAAATAAAAAATAAATAAACATATAAAAGCAGTTTTAAAATTATAAATTAAAAAAAAAAAATATTATTTATATATAAATAAAAGCTAATTAATTTAAAAAATATAAAAATATAAAATGGCATAACCAGATCCAAAATTATTATCAATGTTAGAAAAAGTATCTCATCCAATTCTTGAATTGGATTTAAAATTAAAGGTACATGGTGTATATAATTTTCCTGAAGAATGGAAATAAACAGATGAATTGAATCCAACTTTATTTTCCTATTCAGCCAAGATATTTTAATTAGAAGCACATGATGGTAAGTTACATTCTCGTGAATTAACTGAAAAAGAACTAAAAGAATAAGAAGAATTAGCTTTATAAAAGAACAAAAAAGCTCCTGCAGCAAAAAAAGATAAAAACGCAGTCCAAGAAGTTATTTTAACACCTGAAGAAGAAGAATAGTTAAGACTTTAATAAGAAATAGAGGCCGAAAAAGTAAGAGTTTTTTAATCAATGTGGGATTAATTAGATGAATAAGGAAGATTTTATCACATAAGTGAAGATAAATACAAACAAGGATGGATAAACTGGGAAAAAGATGAAGATTAAACTAAAAAAGAAGGTGAAGATTTAGATTATTTAGAAGAATGTATATATGAAAAATAAGGGGAATATATTTATTTTTAGAAAAATGTTCTTGCTTCTGATGATGAAATTGTAAAAATGAAAAAAACAAAGCCAAAAGGACTTAATTTAGCAGATTTAAATAATTTGACTTTCCGAGCATGGGTAAATTTAAAAGAATTTGAAAATCCAGGTACTATAGAAATTACATAAAGATGTTAATTAGAATAAGTAAATTATATATATATATATATATATATATATATATATATATATATATATTTATATATTTATATATTTTTATATATGCATTAATTTTATATATATATATTAAGGTTATTTCTGAAGATTCCCCTTCAGATTTACCTAAATTTAATACTGAAAAATGCTATATTAAAATAAGTTTAATTTTAAGTTAAGCTATATCTCCTTTAGTTGAAGAAGTTAAACCTACTATAGAGGAATTAGTACCTAAGAATTTAAATATTAGTAAATAATAAAATACAAAAAGTATTATTAATGAATTAAAAAATGAGCTTGTGGGTGCAATAGAATCTTTGGCGTTGGAATATTAAATGTTTGGAAGTCAAAATAATACAAATAGTGATAATAAAAATAAAGGATATACTTATTAATAAAAAGCTTAAGAGGCTTAAGGAAGAAAAGAGTTGTTTTTATATCATTTTGGAAAAGAAAATAAATATAAAATTTTAAAAGAAAAATTAAAGAAGTCTATAATAAAGATATGCCGAGATAAATTTTAAAAAAACGGGTTTATTTAAGGTATAACAAACGATTAAAAAGATATGTTTTATTCAGAAATTTATGTATTTTTAATAGAATAAACTAGATAAACTTTATCTGATTTAATTGAGTTAAAAAAGTAATGATATATAAATAATATATAATATTTAATATAACTCTTTATTTATACTTTTAATATTTATTAACAGAGAAGATTTTCATGAAGATATTATTTTAACTTATGAATAAAGTTAAAAAGAAAGAGATAAAATATTAATAAATATTACAAAAGAAAGTTAAGAAGAGAAATTATTAAGACTTTCTAATGAATATGAAATAATTAATTAAATAGATTTAGCCGAGAAATATATGAAAAATTTAATATATTTAAATAGTTAAGTACATACATCATATTTTTAATACACTAAATTTCTTTTAAGAAATAAAAATTTCAATAAAGCAGAAATGATGCTCGAATAAGCTTTGAAATTTGATCCTTTAAATAAAGACTATTAGCTTTTAATGAGTAGTTTATATTTAAGGAGAAATAGACATAAAGAATGTCTTAATATTTTAAATAAATTACTTAATTAGGATAAAGCTTGTAAATTATATAATACTATGATATCTATTATTTATTAGAAATGGTTAAACGATCAAAAATAAAGTGAAAAATATAAAAAAATATCAGAAAAAATTTACTTGAAAAACTAAGGAATGCTACCTCCAAAAATTAATCGTAAAAAATTCGCAAATCCATTCGAAACTCCTAATTTTAAACCGATTATAAATGATGCAGATTTAAATAAAGGACCAACTTTGTAAAATGATTAGTGGGATGAAATATATTTAGAAGTTATTGATTATTTTTAGAAAAATAGCCTTTATGAATTAGTAGAATAGTGTATGGAGTTTGTTTTTGATAATGGAACAAGTAAAGTTTAACTTATTAATTGTCAAATTCAACTATTTAAAGAAAATTATGGAGAATGTCTTAATATTGTTAATAAACTTTTGGTAAAAAATAAAAATAGTTTAGATGTTTAAATGTTAAAAGCTAATATATGTTATTTATCAGGTAATAATATTTATATATATTAAATAATTTTTTGTAAATAAAATATCATAACAAAAAAAGATAAACTATATGAATGTGAAGAAGTTTTCTTAAAAGCTTTAAAATTAAGAGGATAGAAAAATTAAAGTTATTTTAATCCTATTGTATTTTTAAGATTGGGTTCTATTTATTTATAGAGAAAATCATGGGGAGATGCAAAAAAAATATTCGCGAAATCTGTTGATAATAAACCAAATTCAAGCCTATCTTGGTTAGGTTTAGGTATTGCTTGTTTAAGATTAAATGAAAAAAAAGAAGTAAATAAATAAAATAAATATAATAATAAATATAAATAATATAACTAATATAATAATATATATATATATATATATATATATATATATATATATAAAAAAATAAATATTATATATATATATATTACCTTTTTTTATATAAATATTTTTATATAAGGCTGAAGAAGCATTAACATAATCTAATATTTATGATTCTTTTAATGGAGAAGTTTGGGGTTACTTAGCTTTACTTTGTCTTTTAGATAAAAGTAGATTAATTTAATCTGATTAATGTTTAGGTGAATTAATTAAAACTGATGTTACTGATATAATTTTATTAGAAGAATTAGGTGATGAATTATCAAATATTGGATAATATATTAATGCTGAGATAATTTATTCTAAAATAATAGAAATTTAAAGATAAAAAAAATAATATTAAAAAAATAATTTATGTGATATTAATGTTAAATACGGAAAAATAAAAATAAATTTAAGAAAATATAAATAAGCATTATAATGCTTTGAGGAAGCACTAAAAATGTCAGAAGGAGAAACTTAAAAAGCTATTATAAAAGAACTAATTTAAAATGCTATATTTTATTCAAATAATTCTAGATATGATTGAATTTTATATATAAATATATATATATATATATATATATATATATATATATATATATATATTTATTTATGTATTTATTGTATTTTTTTTTTTAAAAAAAAAATATATAAGATAAATATTAATATACACTAAATTATATTTTTTAATTTTATTATTTATAAATTTTTTTGTATTTTTATTATTTTTTCTAATATATAGTTTAATTATAATATTTATATATTTTTATATATATCTATATTTTTTATTTTTTATATAAATATAAATTATTTTCAATTTATTAATGAATTTTTAATCTTTTTATATTTATTTATTTATCATTTAATTATTTCTTATTCTATTTTTTTTTTTAAAGCTTAAGTTTATAAATATTTTACTTTAATTTAAAATAAAATATTTTTTTTAATTTGTTAGATTAAAAAAATACTTTTTATATTTTTATATATGAAAATACTAAAATCTTTATTATTTTAAAAAAATATATCATATATTTAATTAATTAATAAAAATTTTATAAGTTTCAATTAAAATTATATATTAATTTATTGCAATTTATTTTATTAAATTTGTATTTTTTTTTAATATTTTACTTAAAGAAATAAAAATTAAATTAAATATAATTAAGACAAATTTTATTATTTATAAAAGATTTTATTATAATAATATTTTTATTAAAAAAATATGAAAGAAACATATATCTCTGTTAAAAAAATATGATATTTATAAATAATTATATATAATATCTGAAAAACCAATAATAATTTTTTTTAGATATCACATTAAAAATTATTTGAATATTAATTATTAAAAGAATTTTTGTATAATTAAAAAAAAAAAAAGTTTTGTTAATATATTAATTTTATATTTATTATTATTTTATTATTATTATTATTACTATTATTATTATTATTATTATATATATTTTTTTTAATATTAATATTAATATTTTTTATTTTGTTTTTTTTTTTCTATATTAATAATCAATTTTTATATAATAAAATACTTTTTTATTTTTATTAATTTTATTTTATATATATATTTTTCTTTTATTTTTATTTTACAATTATAATTTTTTCTTTAAAATTTTATTTTACAAATATATTTTTTTTCTTTAAAACATATTTATATCTAAATTATAATATATTTTTTTTTATTTTTTTCCATATTTGATTATGTATTTTAAATCGTTTTTAATTTTTTATATAAAATTTTGTATATTATTTTTTATATATTTTTTACTAATTAATAATATTGATTAATTTCTTTTTATATCAAATAATGTTTAATATCTATTTTATTTTTTTATTGTATTTATTTATATTATAAATCAAAAATTATTTTATATAAATTAATAATTCATTGTGATTTTATATATTTTTCCAAATAATATAAACAAAGTTTTACTTTTTTATTTAATTTTTTAATTATAAACTAAATAACTATTTTTCGTTTTATTTAATATAAAAAAATATTATATATATATATATATATATATATAAAAAAAAAAAATTAATTAATTTAAATAAAAATATTAAATCTTTTATTCACTAAAACTTCATTATTATTATATTTCTTCTTCCTAATAATAAACAAAAAATTATTCAACCTATAATTTAAGTTAATCAGTATTTTCGAAATTCAATTTATCATAAACATCTCCTTATAAATGTTTAGATACAATAATAGTAAAATGAGAGAATAATTCGTTACAATTTTCTAATATATCCTTTACATTTTTTAATAGAAAATCGAATTATTTTTCGTTTAAAAAATTGTTCATTTTTAAAATCATTTCTTCTGTAAAATCAATATAATTTTATTTAAAAAGATTATAGAATCTTCCTATTACTTCTAAATCTAAAAGACTATTTAAGTCTTTTAAAATTTCATCTTTTGAGAAATTATTATGATTTTCATTTAGTTATTCTTAGAAATATTGATATCTTTTAATGAAATCAATTATATTTTTTGATATTATAAAAGTCATGTCTTTATTTAAATTCTCTAGTGTTTATTTTAATTGATTTAACATTAAATTCTTTAGATCAAACGTAAATTCCTTCACTTTAGGCATTCCTTTGTAGATTATTTTGAAAAAATTAGTTGTAGTATTCCATAAAGAACTGTTTTCATCTACTTATTATGGCCCACTTAGTGAATTTTAGATATCTTGAAAAGCCAATTTAGTTTCCGAAAAATCAATTTCTTATTCTTTTTTGGTGAAGTCGAGATCCAGATTATGTATAGAGGTGTTCAAAATATATAGGTTTTTAATTAAGAATAAGAACGCATCAAATTTATGTTCGTATTTTTCTGAAGTTTAATATAAAGAAGTCATACAGGAGGTCAAAATATCACAAACAATATTTTAAAAGGCTTTTTTTTCAAGTCTTTTTGCAAATTTTTCTATTATAATTACACTGTGTTCTACAATAGGAAATATTTATTTCCTTTAAGTAGAGGAGTGTGTATATTTTTTAATTTAAAAGTTATTTTAGGAAAAAGAAAATGAAAAATATGAATTTAAATCAAAATTAATGATTTTTTCTTAAATATAAATTTAAGAGAAATAATTGGCTTTTTATAAAAGTTCATTTTTAATTTTTTCAAAGAAGATTTATTTTAGATTTTCATATTTTTCATGATTATCATTATAGTCTTTTTTTTGTTTAATTTTTCATTTAAAATATCTATATTGGAAAAAATAGTATCTATATTTTAAGATTCAGCCAAGTTTATTGTTTATTTTATTATTTCGTAATAATTATCAAATAATTTCTACCAGTGTAATTTCATTATTTCTAGTGTATTTAGAGTTTAATAATTAAATACTTCTTCTGTATAAAGGACTTCTAGGAATATATTTTCTAGTGAAAAATTCAAAAAAATAAGAAATGTTTGATATTTATTCTTTGAGAATTCAAAAAGGATGCTTTATATATTTTCTATTAATTCTTTATGAAAATTTTACCTACAATATATCATATATTATATAAAAACACTATTATATAAATCATTTAATTCAGAGTCTTAATCAGAGTTCGTTTCTATGAAACTTATTAAGTTTTTTAGAGTTTAATTTAATTCAAAAGTATGAATATCATAAAGACCTAGTTAAATATATTTTTCAGAAGGAGATGCTTCCATTTAAAAGAAATTTTTTCTTAATTAAGGGTATAAACCTAATTAGAATAGATTTCTTTTAATATATATATAATTAAGAATAATTTATTATTATTTTACTTATAAAATAAAGAAGATGAATTATCATTTTGATCTAATTAATATTCTTGTAATATTTTAGGTAGATTCTTATTTATATTTTTAGCTAATTAATTATTTACAAACATAAATTCTTTATTGAAGATTTTAAAAAGAAAATTCTTTACTAAAGCTATCATTCTAATTTTTAATTTTTAATATAATTGAGAATAACTTTTTTAATTCTGGAAATTTTAGTGTACTTAAAAAAATAAAATGCCGTCTATTATTTCACTTAAAAATCTTTAAAGAATATCCTCAAAAGAACTTCGTTAATTCATATCTAATTGAATAGTATCTATTTATTAATTTATTTTTTCCGCATTTTCATAATAACTTAAATTTATTTTTATTTCTTCACTTAATTCTAGTAAGTTTTTCTATTCATTTATTAGTTTAGAAGATTCTTCGTAAAATTCGTTTATTTTAGAAACTACATGGCTTTTTTTTACTCTAAATTCTAAAAATGGTTCCTTATTTCTTCCAAGGATTATAAAATATTGTTTAAATATTATTATATAGTATTATTTTCTTTATTTTAAATTTATATTTCTTAAACTATTTCTAATTCAGGTGATTTTTTTTATTTTCTTTTCAAAAATTTATCTATGTCGATATTTTAAAACTCTATTGTAATCTATGCACTTTATTATTTTCGTAATGTTAAATTATTATTACTACTATTATTATTATTATTATTATTTTGATCTTTTTAAAAAGCTTTTTTATCCTTTAATTCAATATCTTCCATTTATTATAATAATAAGAGTGTTTTTTGGGATAAATTTATTTATTATTCCCATTCTAATATATTTAACTATTATTATTTAATCATTTATTTATTTATTTTTTTAAAAAAAAAAAATTTATTAGAATAAACAAAAAAATATCTTTTTTTATTTTATAAAATAAAAAAAAAAAGCTAATTCATTATTATATAAATATAATTATATATATATGTATTTATTTTATTCATTCCACTAAAATTCCAGTAGTATTATTTCCTATTGAAATTTAATGAATTTTTTTATAGCCTTAAAATACATTTAATTATTAATAATTTTTCATTTATATATATTTTTCTCCAATAATACCTAATTGGCCTTTATTATTTTCCCCAAAAGCATAAATATTCGAAAATTCATCAACTAAAAATGTACTATTATTGTAACTTTTCACAAAAATTATCTTTTTTTCGGATAAAAATTCATTTTAACAACAATCTCCCCACATAAATATACGACTCTTAAATTATGGGTTAATTAATTATTCAAAAATGGCAATATTATAATAATTCCCACACGAAAAAGTAACTAGTTTTTCAGTTTTTTCATTAAAAATATCTTAAATGATTACTGGATTTGTTAGATTTTTAATATTAAACTCTTTAAAATTCAATAAAAGGAATTAATTATTGCCCCAACCATATAATTTACTATTTTCTTAATTAGAAAATATACAATGGTCGTCTCCAGTATCAAAAAAAAAACATTTATCTAGTAATAGACGAGGAAATATTTAATGAACTCCAGAATTTTCAAAATTAATCACATCTTTAAATCTATTAAAAACTTATTTCCCTTCCAATGCTTAATTTTTTCCAAAAGTATATAAATTATTTTCCAAATCTTAACAAACAGTAAAAAACAAACCGCATTTAACATTAATTATTTATATATTTTATTTTAAAAAAAATTCGACAATTTATCCTTCAATATAACAATTTAAATTACCTAAACCACATT